TGACCCTGGACAGGATTGCTGGGGTCGCAGCCTAGACCTCAGACTCCTAAGAGATGTTGAGGTGTTCTGCAGCTCCTTAGATGAAGTGGGTGTTTCTGGGCAGGGTTACTGGGACCTCAAGCAGAACCCTGCACCCTCAGGAGAAATGTTGGGGTGCTTTGCAGCTCCTCTTCTTGAGTTGGTGACCTTGGTGGTGTTGCTGGAATTGTGCCTGAGATTTTGTACTGTCACTCTTGGGAGACGTTTGGGAACTCTGTAGCTCCTCAGTTGGAGTGGGCAACTGGGGGCAAGGTGTCTGGGGCCTCAGGCAGGACCCTGCACCCCAAAGAGAGACTCTGAGGCACTTTTAGCACCTCAGCTAGGGTGGGTGGCTATGGGTGTGTTTGCTGGAGCTGTGGATGGGACTGTGTGCCCCTAGGAGAGGTGTGCAGGCTCCACTGAAGAGAGCAGGGCTGCTGGCAGTGGTAGACGGGCCTGATTGGTTGGCTTTCATGCTCTGAAAAGTGTGAGCTTTGGCTTTCTTTGTCATGGGGTTGGTGCCCCTCTGTGCTGGACTGCTTGTTCCCAGGGGTGCAAGACACTACATGGGTAGGTGTGCCAGAGTCATAGTGTGATGGGATGTTGGGGGGCTTTAGGGACATGGAAATGCTGGGGCTATTGGGCCCCAGGGCAGAATGTACTCTGGTGTTGGTTCCAATCCCAAAATAGCTACATGCTGTGGCAGACTGGCTCCCAGAGGATGTAGGGGCTCAGAGTTCATTCCCTCTCTTTAATAATGCATTCATGTGGGCTTCAAGCAGCTTTCTGTTCTAGGCTCATGACTGCAAGGGCTGTGTGGCTCTCTTGTAGCTAGGATTGCAGTTGTCTGTGGTATGAGTGTAGATTGTTGTGAGTTTTTTGCTTACCTTCCCACGGTAAGGAGTCTCTCCTGGCTCAGAGCTGATCCTGGTCTGTCACTTCACTCATCCTTCTCTACTGCCATCCTGAGTTTCTGAGGCTCAGATGGTCTTCTTTACTATTTTGTGTAATTCTGGTATTTTCTCCTAGGCACTCTATTCAATGTGTGATTATCTCTTTTTTTGTTTTTGACTTTCTTTGTGTCAGAGGTGAGAGCTAGGTGCCTCTAGTTAGCTATCTTGCACTTCTCCTCTCCCACTTTATTTTTATGCAAGTGTTTATGCTGGGTGCTAAGAATGATTAAAAAGAAATATGAGAAACAATATCTTTATCAAGGGCATTATAATCTAGTTGTGGAGTGTTGTTGATGTCCCTTCAAGAAACAAATGGCGCACTCGAATGAAGTAATGGTGGATCATTTAATGAAGGACTGCTTATGAAAGTGTGAAGACGGTTAAGGAAAATAGCTTTTATTACCACTCAAGGCCTGAAGAGACCATGGTTAACTATAGGAACTATTGGAGGACAACCCTGAACAGGAGCTGTGACTTTTAGTGAAGGAATCCTACTACTGTCAATCTGTGCCATCAAGAAAGGAGCTGATATTTCCAACTATAAATACCTGGGCCTCATTCTCCTCCCGCCCGCTCATCTCCTGCTGGATCCTCCCATAGTACAAACTTCACCAAAAGCCAGATGTCACCTTTTGCTGCAGTCCAAAAAATTTAGCCTCTTAGGGAAAACTGCCATTTGGAGAGTGGGTCTGAAGGGACAAATGTAGAGTATCCAGCAGAGAGCAAGATTTTTTATAGCAACAGATGTTAACACATTTTAAGTGTGAGTAATCTGGACAACATATTTTTTAGATGATAGCATATCAACACATAAAATATCATTTTATGAGCACTTTTGGAGTGCTTTACATTTTGTAAGTACATTCTTATTTTATCTGTACAGTTAAGTTATGTAATGCCTCAGCATTCTTTTCTACACTAACATCTGAGACAAAAGTAGTTCAGTCCTTCCTTGGTATTCTAAATTGGTAGTCTGCTTCTGCATAAAGTTGTTCTACTCTCCAACAGAAGCAGATATTAAATGTTTAAGAACTCAGCTTCAGAAGGAAGCTAAGTACTAGAAGCCAGGAAGACAAATAATATATTGTAATTATTTATCATTTGAAAATGCATTATTTTCATATATTTGTAAATTTGTCTTTTTTATAGGATGAAAGGGACTTAGGTAGTAGGGATTCTCAGAATAAAAAGAAATTGTTAATATTCTAACATGATATTGTTGTTAAAATGATGGATTTTGTAGTCAGAGAGACCAAAGTTTGAGTTCTGGCTCTGCCCCTAACTTTGGCAAGTTACTTAGACTCTCTCACCCACAGGTTATTATAAAATGAGGACAACCACAAGATTGTTTCAAGTCTTAAGTGAGATAATGGCATACTGTAAGCTGTCAATAAATGTTAGCTGTTACTAGTAGTATTAATAGACTCTATAACCAAAATTTCAAATTTATAAAATGTAATAAGGAATGTAGGTTAATTTGTTCTGCAAATATTTATTAAGCAACTATTATGTGCTAAATACTCACTTTGCTAGATATTGGCATCACGGTAGAAATGAGTAAGACCTTGTCCTCCTGGAGCTAGAAGTGCATAATTTGCATCTGATTTATATTAATAACTGGTGAATTAGTAAATAGAGCTTATACTGACAAACACGCTGCCAGCCTAATGGTTTATTTAGCTATCTTTATTGACCATCAGCATACCAAAATTACTAGCATATTATTTTTTAATGGTTTTGTGGTCAAGAATTAGTACATTTTATTACTGTGCTAGACTCTAATCTCAGCCAAATGCTAGGTTGCTGTGCATTTGCCTCCTAATAAATGAGCAGCTATTAATTTAGAGGAAAAGATTATTGAGTTAAAAATAGAAGTATTTAAAAAATCTAATACATTGATTATTAACAAACCTAACACAACTGTTTTGTTTATTTTTCTATGCCATTTGGAGCTACAAATGATAATTTTTCTTTGTGTGGCACTACTAGTGAGTTCAGTATTTGGGATAATAAGTTATTCTATGCTGAACAGTTAGTAGTTGCTTTCACTTTAGATAGGATTTCTACAAGTTACTAAAAGCTTGATTGTGATTTGTCAGTTTCTTTAGCTGATCCATGTGACATTATAACAGTCAATTTAGTGTTAAATAATCCCAGACGTTCATCATTTTAAGCTATTTTATACATGGAAAATTAGTATTTGATGATCCCCTACTTTGTAAAGTTTTCCTTAAAATGTAGTGTTAAATTTATCTGTATATTTAAAGTTTATTGAAAAAAAATTCATTTTGCTTATGCAAAACATAAAGCTTTTAGTACATTTTGTTTTATATGTTTAGGACACCATGAAGATTCCTGGAAAAATCTTTGTGTGTGTGTGTGTGTGTGTGTGTGTGTGTGTGTGTGTGTGTGTATGTATAGGTAAGAGGTTCCCAGTTTTCATTTTTAAATCAAGTTGCTGTAGGGCTATATCTTCACTTAATTTAAAACTCATATACCATGACAGAACTTATTTACTCAGGTAATGCTTAGCAGTGCAAATTGATACTACTGGAAAAAAGACTAGTATGTTAGTATAAACTGATTCTAAGTATCTTTTTTGGTTAGTGGAAATCTATTTTGATGCTTTTATGTTCTTTAATATCTGTATCTCTTAAATTTAATATTCAATTCTAAAATAAAGGCAGGTAAGGGCCTAGTAAAGGTGTGTCTGTTAAATGTTTAAAATTTTATCCATTAAAAGTTATTGTTTAATTTCACACAAGTGATAAGAAATCATTCTTAAATATATCTGTGCTACTTTCCTATTAGTTCTTTTTCTATGGAATGTCTTTTACTGCTTTGGAGATGTATCCATCTGGCAGAATCAGCAAGTTCTTTTTTATGGTTATGAATCTTTACCATATTGGCAATATGCTTGTTCAAATTGAATAACCTAAGAGAGACATAGCTAAGGAGCAGAATTCCTGAACAAAGGGACTTCCAGCAGAGAATGTGCATGTGTTATTTTTTCTTTTTCCTCAACACAAATATGTAACTATTTTACCAGTAAGTCTGGAGTCTTTGTTAGCTCATCACTCTTAAACTATAATTTACCTGTTCCCAGATAAACTATAAAAGAAATCAGAGCAGAAATATATGTTTTATTTGCTTTGTTAGGCAGAAGTTATGCCCTCCTAGGACCAGCTAGTTCCTCTTTTTAACTCAAATGCCATGGTTGTTTGTGGATCTTTTAGTTATGTGAGCTGTATAGAGCTGATTGGAGAGAAAAGCAACCCAGCGTCCTCTGCCTGAGTCAGAACTCAATGGGAAGTAGTATAGTATATACTGTTTTAGAGACTGAGCTGTGGTATCAGACTACCTGAGTTAGTGTAAATGTACAGATGAGGTGTCTCTAGATTTGATCATAAAACCGCCAATTTAGGCTAATCTCAAATCTCCCCCAAAGGACCTTGGCTTCTGATCTCCTTTTAAGGTTTCCTTTCCAGACCTGGAGCCAAGTTTGTAGCTTTTTCCAGAATATATGAATGTATCTCTTGGGGGAATGTAGAAGCTGTGTCAGGAATGGAGATAAAAGTTTGCTGATCTACAGGTTAGAGAAATCAGCTAAGGCTTGGGCCAAGACATATATCCAGGAAGACACACAAGGTCTAGAAGAGAAAAGGAACTTGAAAACACCTAGAGAGAATAACAGATTAAGAATATTGGTAAAATGGCTATTTCATGCCCATCTGTCATCTTATTTTTTGGTGCATTTCGAAGAAAATTGAAGACAGCAGCCTACTTCACCTCTATACACTCCAGCATGCATGTCATTAACCAAAGTTCGAGGTAAAATTTACATGCAATGAAACACAAAATTTAAATGTACATTCGTGAGTCCAGTGGCAAGATGGCGGTCTGAAGGTAGCGGCAGCGGTGGAAACTCAAGACTCGGGAGCCCCAGGGACTGGAAGAAATCACAGTGCCTACTTGGAAAGAAGAAAAGGTAGCGAATTGCCCCAGCCCAACCCGAGAGTGGGCCCCTAGAAAGGCTGGAGCCCCCGTGGAAGTGGCAGCGGCAGCAGCGGAGGAACCGGCGGCAGCGGAGCCGGCAGCAGCGGCAGTAGCGGAGGAACCGGCGGCAGCGGCAGCAGTGGAGGAGCCGGCGGCAGCGGCAGTGGCGCCCCCGACAGTGGCAGCTGTGGCAGAAGTGGTGCCAGTGGTAACGGCGGTAGCGGCAGCAGTGGTGGAACTAGTGGCAGTGGCAGCAGCGGGGGAGCCGGCAGCAGTGGCAGCGGCGCCAGAGGCAACAGTGGGGGAAGCAGTAGCGGGGGAAGCGGCGGCCGTGGAGCCGGGAGCAGTGGTGCCAGGGGCAGTGGTGCTGGCGGCAGCGGCATGAGCAGCTGCAGCAGCAGCAGCAGCAGGGGAACTGGTAGTGGCAGGAGCGACAGCCTACGGTACTGCCCCGTCACCCAGCAGCCCGGCAGAGTCCAAGCTGACCAGAGAGTTGGCTCCTTGGAGAGGCCCAAGACCTGAGGTAACCACATACGCAAGGCACTAGTGGCCAACTGAGTAGTCACTGAGGTAGCCATACCAAATTGGCAACCCCAGCCACATCTTAGTCAGGCAATAGTTTCAAACCTGTGGACTGTGAAACCCCCTGCCACAATGAAAAAACATCAAAGAAAAGACACCAGAAATACAAAAAATCAAGAAAGTACACCACCCAAAGATAATAAACCTCAAGCTCTAGATCCTATAGAACAAGAAGCCCTTCAAATGAAGTGATAATTCTAAGGAAACTGAATGAGATACAAGAAAACTCAGCTAGACATCATGATGAAATGAGGAAAAGTATACAGGACCTGAAAAAGGAAATGTACAAGGAAATCAATGCCCTGAAAAAAAGTGTAGCAGAACTTGCCGAACTGAAGAAGTTATTTTTCTAAATAAAAAACACAGTGGAGAATTTAACCAGCAGGCTTCCGGAAGTGGAAGAGAGAACTTCTGAACTTGAAGACGGGCTGTTTGAACACAAGCAGACAAAAAAAAAAAAAAAAAAAAAGAAAAGAAAAGAAAAAAGAATCAAAGGCATTGAAGAAAATCTGAGAGAGATATCAGACAACCTAAAGCGCTCAAATATCCGAGTCATGGGTACCCCAGAAGGGGAGGAAAAAGGAGATTGCATTGCAAACATATTCAACAAAATAGTGGTGGAAAACTTCCCAGGTATAGGAAATATCACAGATCTTGAGATCCAGGAAGCTCAGCGATCTCCAAACGTATTCAACCCAGAAAGGTCTTCTTCAAGACATGTTATAGTCAAATTGGCAAAACTGAAAGACAAAGAGAGAATCTTAAGAGCTTCAAGAGAGAAGTGTCAAATCACCTATAAGGGAGCCCCAATCAGGCTAACATCAGACTTTTCATCACAAACCCTAAAAGCCAGAAAGGAATTGGATGATATATTCAAGATACTAAAAGCCAGAGATTGTCAGTCAAGAATACTCTACCCTGCAAGGCTATCCTTCCGGAATGAAGGGCAAATAGTATATTTCTCAGACAAACAAAAGCTGCCGAAGTTCACCACCACACGACCACCCTTACAAGAAATTCTCAAGGGAGTACTGGGTTTGGTTCCTGAAAAATAACTACCACTGCCATAAAAACACAAGAAAAATCAAATCCCACTAGTATAATAAAAATGGCATTCATGAAGAGAAAACAAACAAACAAAAAGGCTACCTACATCCTAAGGAACCAACAAACATAGAAAACAAACAGTAAATCAGAAAGCAAGGAAAAAAGGACGCCTAAGACAACCAAACAACAATCAATAAAATGCTAGGAATAAATTAACACTTTTCAATAACAACTCTTAATGTAAAAGGCTTAAATTCCTCCCAAAAAGACACAGACCGGCTGACTGGATTAAAAAGGAGGACCCAACTATATGCTGCCTTCAAGAGACCCATCTCACCCATAAAGACTCACATAGACTAAGAGTGAAAGGATGGAAAAAGATTTACCATGCAAACAGAAAAGAAAAACTAGCTGGAGTAGCTATTCTTAGATCTGACAAAGTAGACTTTAAACTAAAAACCATAAAAAGAGATAATGAGGGACGCTACA